CGGCAGTGGCCTCCTCATTTACGCTACCTTTCGCAACGCTCCTTTACTCGTGACTAGTTTCCCTCTCCTTTTTATTTTTCCCTCTATCCCCATTCGTGTCTTCTCCCTGTTTCTGCGGTGGAATGTCAGCTAAACGACGGCAAGAAGAAGCTGAAAGCTGTCGAGGTAATAGGAACGGCTGCGAGGTGAACGACGAAGAAGTGTTGAGTGGCGAAATGAGGGGTTGAGATGGGGTGCAAGAGGGTGGGTCGTAAAGGTGCGAGGTAGACATTGGAAAGCAGGGAAAAAGTAGTTGCTTCCGAGACATGGTCCGTGGAGGTACGCGAAGAAACCGGTCGTCCATTCAGCTCCGCAGTCCGACGATGGAAAGAAGCTTAAATGGTTTTTCCATGGCCCGAATCCGGGTCTAAACGTGTCGAAACTTTTTAACGAGCTCGTTAGGGTTCCAGAAATGACCGGGAAATTAATTATCCTTGAAAAGCTTTCCACTCATCTACGGATATACGTAGATGCTTCCATTCTCTTTTTCCAACTTGCTCATCGTTCTTGCTCAATGACCGCGAATTCACACGTGAATTCGGTCAATGATCAGTGATGAGTTTTTTGTTTCCTACTGAAGAACGTAAATTAATCCTCTTTAGAGTATGGTATGAGAAAATTAAATTCGTTTAAGACTACATGGAAAGAAAATGAATAGTAAAAAAATTTAGCTAGCTTTCAATAAAGAATAGAAATATTTGAAATAGCAAATAACTGTATCTATCAGAAAATCGTACGTTTCGGTTTTATTCAAGTTATCTTTAGCTGTTTATATGTTCAGTAAATGTTATTTATATGTTCCCAATACTCATCAGGTAAAACATCTTTTACAACTTCTAATAATTAATAAATCTCACTCTCTCTTTCTCTCTCTCTCTCGTTCTCTTTTTTCTCTCTTTCTTACTAGTTGATATATTGAGTGAACTAGTGAGACAGACGCTTCTGAATTATTGAAAGTAGAAGATATTTCACCCGATAGATATTGAGAACGTATATAAATATAAAAACAGTATTGTTACATATCGCTGAAAATGGCTTGAATGACGACGAAATTGGCTTGAATGACGTACGATTTTCTGATAGATACAATTATGAAGCAAATATATTCTTTACTGAAATATTTTGCGTACTAATTACCACATATTACTGAGAATAATACGTGGTAATTAGTACGCAAAATAACCGACTGTTCTTTATTGAATAAATTATTGATAATATTAATATTACTGATTTTTTTATATCTTTGTGCAGTATACAGGATTTATAAAAACAATATATTTTTTACTGAATAACATTTTAGATGATTATCAGATGAAATTTGATATTTTGCGTACTAATTACCACATATTACTGAGAATAATACGTGGTAATTAGTACGCAAAATAACCGACTGTTCTTTATTGAATAAATTATTGATAATATTAATATTACTGATTTTTTTATATCTTTGTGCAGTATACAGGATTTATAAAAACAATATATTTTTTACTGAATAACATTTTAGATGATTATCAGATAAAATTTGATGTTTGCTGGTTATAATCAGTGCCTTGATCTGATTTATTTTGATATATGATTTTTATCACTCTTTTGGTTGCAATTTAAAATTTTCTCAAAATATCGTAATCCGATAACGTCATAAGATCATCAGTAATGCAAACTGCAAATTTTTAATGCTACTTACTGAGATGTGGGGAAAGGACCGAAATAAATGACGACTAGGTCGCTTTTGCAACGACGGCATCCGATTTGCCGTGGATTTATTTTAGATACCAGTAACTTTCGAAACCTTATAGGATATTAGTTGCGAGACACGCATTTCGTCGATCCCATTCCATTCGCATGAGAATAATCGTTAAATCGGCCGATCGGGATTCTGCGCAAGGGATCGACCAGATTAACTCTCTCGATTGTATCGTATTGCCTTTACGCAATAATAGAAATTAATACAATTCGAAATTTTCATATCCTTTGTAAATCGTAATATTACCCGGTAAAAACATATGTATAATGAAATTTTTATTCTTTATTCCAGATAAAAACGTAACTTGCAAATATGTTTCTGACACGTTTTTGTCTCTTTTTAAACGATTTTTTTAAACGATTCGCGTTGAAATAGAATTTGCCACGCAATGGAGAATTAACGACCGTATCGTCGTGGCACAAGGGAAATCGATGCGCTTATTCGAGGCTCCGATGTAATCACCAAGCTCTCTGCTATGATGAAATTTTGGTGCAAAACAGTTTATGCGAGAGCATAGCCGCATCGAGATAAAAATATCATGCAATTCATCGGAATCGCATGCGACGGTGTGGTATATAATTACGGTATAGAATTAAAAAAAATTTCATTGTTCAATTCGCGACATGCGCCGGCGTATATGTACGTATACGACGTCAACTTCGATCGTGCAAAATCGTAGGAAAGGCTTATATTTTATCAAGCAACCGTTATCCATCGACTTGGTCGACATCGCTAGAGAGTTGCTTCGCGATTAGCCCCGTTCGTAGCTCCCCGATGATCACGATTGGTCAAGCCTACCATCTGGAATCGTGGTCGCCGGTCGGCGAGATTATAAGAGGCCAGATTTGAAAAAAAAAAAAAAAACAATATATCGCGAGAGTTACAATCGAGACACATGAATTTTTAGCTACCCATCGACACGACTCCGTGTCTAGATTAAAAAGGATCGAGGACACTCGGTGACCTGGTTCTCCGATCCAACATGGCCGGCTTGACGTGCTGGAGGAATAATATGTTTTTTCGACTTCAGGTACCATATGTACAAGTTGTCATTCATACGGATATTGCACGCACACACGCACACACGTACGCAAAGCACGTGTCTCTCTCGTTCACGGTTTTACATTCTCAACAATCGTCCACTCGTACTCGAATAAATCGACAGTTTCGTCGTAAGTAATCGGTCGTGATGTATACATAGCATAAATTATTGACTAGGACAGTTTTTGGTTCCGGCTTCGACGAGGAAATCGCTGAGTACAAATTTTAACATCGAGTATGCCCGTGGCTAAATTGTTTAAACGTTTATACAAACGCGTTGGTCTTCGTATCGCAGTGATAAGGTGCTTGTTTCCGCTTCGTTATCGTGCTAATTTTCGAATATTTCGCCCTTCGCTTTTAGTCATTTCCCAGCTGCATTAACAGCTTGACTAACAGCCAATTTTGACCCTTTTACCAACGAAGCACGCGAGGCATGCTTTCTCATTTGACTATCGCATGACGAGTGTACGTATCAGTACCGCAACGCTGTAATTGGATATCATAGTGGGTTTCAATCGTTTTACTAAATTGTATTCCGCTGTTTGTTAAAATTTATCCAAAGTTTAAATTCCAACCATACGGAGCATTGTACTTTGAAGTAAATAAATCATAAATTAAATAATTGAAATGACCGAATGAGTTACGATACAAGAACACTAATTTGAATTATCATATAAAGCTTGTAGTGGCGTTGGTGTTATCGAGCGCACTTAGCGTAATTCTGCATATATTTCATCATACATTTGATTTTGCTTCTAGGGTAAGTAATTAAATTGTACAATGGCTTGCCAATATCTCGTTCCAGTAATCAATAGCACTACAATAGCACTACTCGTGGTAGTTTCAAATTAATGGGCTATCGCTTCATTAATACACGTTATAACATTATTATTGCTCATTATCGGTTAGATTGGACACGGTTAATAAATATGAGAATCTTTCGAAATATGAAGCAAGTCGAGAGTGAATTAAAATTAAATTTTTTAATTAAATTCTAAAATCTTTACATTAAAACACAGAAGCAATTAAGAATAATTAGTCAATCTTTTTATTTTGAGAAACATCAAGCTAGCGTTATTAAAATATTGATTAACGAGAATTATTATAATAAATATTATTCCGATGATAATAATACGTAATACGAGATCGTGTATGATATGTAACACAGATTATACACACATATTACATACAGATACACGAATTATAATGTATAAATTCGTACACGTGTGCACTCAGAGAAAGACGTAATAGTAACAATTACAAAGATGACATCCATACAAATTTTATATATAAAATTAATGTACATATATATCATTGAATAAACTATTTTATAGTTACAGCAACTATAAAATAATTTATTTAACTATATGTGTGTACATTAATTCTATATATTGTTCTCTTATTTCAAAAGTGACACTATTAAAAAAATATGATTTTTTAGTTATTACTTTGAAGGAATTAGGTAAAGATTACTCTATCAATCGTCAAAGTAAATTAACTTAATTTCACAATCTGTCTGTCAAATATAGCACTTATGTCATTCTTAAAGTTTTTGAAGATATTATAATATCTTTTATAAGAGTGACACATTTTGAATTGTGTCGTTTTTAAATAAAAATGAGCGTTTTCTGCAGAGAATATTTAGAGTTAAGGCAGTTTTGGTAATCAAAGTTTGAAGAAGAAATTATTTTATTTTGAAACTAGATCAAGGTAAATATAAATTTTTGGTAATATTTGGAGTTACGTCACTTTTCAATTATTTTTAGAATTTACAATTTTTTAGGATATTACAACTCAAAGAGGTTAATTTTTAAAGATTGTAACACAAAAGTAACCAAAGTAAATATTGGATCATGTTTTTAAGAATATATTCTTTTGCCGATATTATTATTTGATTAATCAATAATTTTCTTTGAAAAATACTTTTTTGCTTTTCTGTGAAACTTAATTTTTTAAGTTGTATTACTTTTGGAACAAGGGAATGACATAAAACTTGTATAATTATTATTTTGTCATTACTATGTTTCTTTGTGAAGCAGATCAAGCGATAAAAGAGCTAAAAGACGGAAGTAAAACTTGCAAGTCGGATCTTATTTTATCTCTAGAAATAACTTAGCGATGCGACTGCTCATTGTTAGTCTAACTACAATTTTTATTCACGACGCTGTGCCCTTAGTCACGGTACTGACGTTTCACTGACCGTCCTGATATTTTTCGCGAATACTCACATCTCCTGGCTCCAAGATCCTTGGCGGAAATCGAGTTTATCTACCTACTTACGTACAAAGATGAGAATCGTGGGTAACGGCGAGAAGGATCGAAAGAGGTAAGACAGAAAGAGAGAGAGAGAGAGAGAGAGAGAGAGAGAGAAAGAAAGAGAGAGAGAGAAAGGGAGAGAACGTGTGCATATCTGTATGTGCAGCGGATACCGTGTCGTCTCTAGGAGACGCGAGGGGTCTCAAAAACTTGGTGGTAAAGTTGTAAAGGGTGAGTTTTACTCCCTTTGGGGCAGTGAACTTTTGCCTTTCCACTCCTCTCATTTCTCCTCTTCTATTTCTCTCTCTCTTTCTCTTTTCTCTGTATACTTTATATCTCTCTGTTTCTGTTTCGATCACTCGACTCGTTTGCGAGTTACGTTTCGCGGCGTTCGCTGAGAGGATTCCGGCAGCTTAAGGCGTCATCGGACGCTTTATGTTGTAACGGCAGTAATCACGACCGATTATATCCTCCTGCGGGATCTCCTCCTCCAGTGGCTCCATCCCTTCAGCGGCCAGGTTGTCGCGAATCTGCACACATAGAGAACGCTACGATGTAGTAAATGTGATTTATTGACTGTTAAAGCGTGGCTTATGATGATTTATACGTTTAGTCCTTTGATACGCATTGCCGTAGTCGTAGACTTGTATCGAAGCGTTTGGTGCTCATGGAACAATACTACCAATCATGGACTACAGCTGTCGATCACTCATTGTAATCCGCATACCTGTACGTCCATGAATCACAAGTCAATGAGCGATTCACGATGCAGCAAACTTCTATAGATTTAAAAGGCTCTCGAAATGTTAGACGTATACATAAGAAGATTAAATTGCTCGTATCAGTGAGCAGATCGATACATTTACAAAGTGTGCTCGTCGCGCGCTTAAAAGCGAAAGACGGGTTCTCCTCATTTTTCTTCAATACATTCCGGTGGCTCATGAAAAAAGCCGAAATGAATTTTGACGCTGCTTCTAAAACCCGCGAGATGGAGGAAGAGAAGCGGCGAAGATGGAAGACCACGGCACCTCGCGAATGTTTTCAGGAAAAATCGTGCCTGGTGATTGCCGTTGTAGGAAGCGAAATAAAAAGATCGGAGCTCGCGTGCCTCCCAGGACGGCGCGGCGCGCGGCGCGTCTATGAAAGGTAAAGACGAGCGCATACGGGATCGAGGGTAAAAAGATTGGCGCCGGTGTGAGTATTTCACACGGGCATGCACGGGCGCCCATCAATTTTCGGTGAAGCCCATTAACCTCTCACGTGCTTTAGCCGAAAACGAAGCTTTCGACGGCTGACGAACGCGTCAGCGATGCTCGCGACATGCCGCCCCTTTTCCGCATGATGACGAAAAATCGCCGCGATGTACACGACGTGGATCAGAGTTTGCTATTCCGAGACGAGATTAACGCATTTGTAGTCTGCTGTATGGACAGCAATTTATGTGCGCCACTAACAAAATGAGATGGGCGATAAAAGAATTGGAAAACAAACTTCATGCATGCACCGAAAAAAAGTCTGGTTATAGTTATAAAAATTTTTATAAAATAATTTCAGTCAAATGTTTGATAAATACAATCAAAATTATTCTGATGAAGATTTCACGTATTTTTTGAACTATTACTGGATAGTATATTAACTTTTGTCTAGTAACTGATAATGAAAAATAAAACTATACTTAAAATTCCAATCCAGATGTAACCATCTACAGTTATTCCTCAGAAACAATGTCTGGATCTGTTTGCTGAACATAAACAGGATAATATATAAATGGATTTTAACTAATAATAATTTATATTAATAACTAGATAATAACTGGTATTTACGCAAATTGCACATATTTTTATCAGGAAAAATGCTTCACAGCTACTTAATAAATCTACTAAGTTCTTATCCATTTCCTATACACAGTTGTTACAACTAATGAGAATAAAGTAATACAGATAGTAACTGAATGTATGTCTAGGAAAAACTGCATATACATTTCTGCCAGGGTAACTAAATTCTAATTTTAATTTTCTAAATATTATCTTTCTAATTATTATTATTAAACAGTTGGTTAATATTATTATATTTGGTAATGTTCATTACATATTATACCGACGTGCTAAACAAAATACAGTTATAATATAGTTATTTATAACCTATTATATTATAACCTAGGGTTATATTATAACCTAATAATATTAACTTAGTTATAATATAATATGTAAAATACGTTATATTAAAATGTATAAGAGGAAAATTAATAGAGTCGCTATTCATTAATAGCCTTCCAAAACAATTCAGCATAGCATTCTCTTAAGTGCTGTAATATACAAAATTATTGAACACAGTATTTGAAGCCGAAGTAATACAAAACACAGAACGAAATAATGAAGCTAAAAATAATAATAATGTCGTTAATGGATGTAACTATAATATTACCAGGTTTTTCTTTGGTGTGCTTTGAAAAATTTTTCGTTATTTGCTATAATATTCACTATGCTTTCTACTCTCTTCTCTATTAATTATTTGAAATTCTGTTACTCTGATGAAAGTTAATAGGTTTGAGTAGATGTACCTTCATTAATTAAATAGATACAAGGATTGAAGGTACGCTGCATCAGTGATATTCGAAAAGAAATGAAAGAAATGAATGTTTCATATAGAGGAAAGGTATAAAAAATGTCATTAAATTTGAGATCCTTCCTGCGCTTCTCCCATTGGCGCTTCGAAAAGAAAAAAATTTTTTACATCACGAAGAGGAAGAGAATCTCCCTGATTTGTACTGAAATAATTTATCGATAAAGCGTCAGGATGTAAAAAGCTTTTATTGACTTGGAAATGCTGGCCACGTTTTTTTCCCACTCTTTTAAAAATTTATTTTGCTTTCATAAAGTAAGAAAACGATGTTCTCCGTTTGGGGTCGATCCCACTGGAATACATATTAGGATGGCGTGACGTAAATTTCACTCTCGCCCGAAATCCACCCCGCAGATTTTCAATTAAACGAACGTCACAGGAAGATGGCGTCCTATCACAAATATTTACGCCGTGCAAACGCAACTGTAATTTTTCGGTCATTGGTTATCTGTGTTGCGAGAAACCAATATTCTGTGAAGGAGATAGAAGAGCATATATGAGTATTAATTGTTAAAAAAAAAGAGAAATATTCCTAAAATAATATCTGTAGATTAAAAAAAATGATTGCAAAGTCTTAAATTTTTTTCTCTTATTGATAGAAAAAGAAATATAGTACTTAAAAAAAACACAAAGGCAATTTTTTGTAAACGATATTTAAGATGAAAATTGTAATTTTATTCGATTCATTGTTTTCTTCTTTTCTTTCTCTCTTTTATATATATTTTAATGTAACATACAATGGAGAAATATTTTAGAAAAAAATGGACATATCACGTGTTATGTTAGACGTTTATAAACGTCATTTTTGCTCAACACTCCGTGACGTAAATCCTGTGTACGTAAAGCTTCATTTTGCCGCCTCGCTGAATTTTCAATTAAACGAATACAGAGAGCGATGGCGGCGCGCATCTCCGGCTACGAGACAACGCAGAAAAGGAAATGAGAGGGCGATATAGGAGGACGTCGACAGTCTAATCAAATCCGCCTTTATTGTCGCTTTCATGCCTCGGGCACGTAACGTTACGGTACTTACGGTATAAACGCCAGCAATACGGACGTCTCACAGATGTAATAGCCTTTTCTCTGCTGATCTTTCTAAATATTCTACTTTAAAATTGATACTTTTTTTTTTACTTCAAAATTTTAATCGTGCGCGTTCGAAGAAATTAATGACGAAGAGATTAAAAGTTAATAAATGTTGAAGGATTTTCATCATAAATGCACAGACTGCCTTGTTATAGTTCATATTTTCCTGAATTAGAGAGAGAACTGCACAAAGCTGAAAGCCGTGAATTTCTATTCTAAAAATTAAATATCGCGAAATGAAAATTATTCTTGAACTTTGACATTTAAATTTAATACTTGTATATGAAAAATTAAATTAAATTCACTTTGATTTATGTGCTTGCAGAAAATATCTTCATGAACGAGAGCACGTCATATTGAATGTGAGATATTAATGGATAGATCTGAAAAACTATACAACGTGTCAACATCTTATTAAAGTTCATATTATTGTTAAAATTGAATTACACAGAAAGTTATTTCTCAATCTCTCTTTTAAAAATTGAATGCCATAAATGAGAGTTGTATATTTTTTTTTTAAATCATTCCAACTGAATGTATTTCTTTAAAACTAATACATTTCAATATACGAGTATACTTATATGAAAAATTTCACGATATATTAAATTATAATTAAATTCAATTATATATTAAACAAATTATATAATTATCACAATTTATTTGTATGTATATATATATTTATAAATGTACAATTATAAATATATATATATATACTTAGTTATATATTGTGATCGCACTACAGTTTGTATTTCTCGAAAATAGACACTTTGGTGGATGATAGTACATCACACTTGCCAATACGTATTTTACGTACTCCGATATTTACGAGACATAAAATTGTTTCAACGACATAAAATGTGGATGAAATGAGGGCGGAATTTAGAAAAACTCTGTTGGATGTTTTCAGCAGAATGTAATGGCGATCGATATGCAGCAAGCCAATAATGGTACGGTATGCGCGATGCTAATTGCATTATTGCGTGTGGCATGTTGATGACTGTTCATCAGTGGTTCCGCTAATGAAAGGGATTTGATAATAGGAAGGAAAAATCTTAAGAAGAAAGAGACCGAAATTCAATTCTGCTTTCCGTAAATTGAAAATGAATCCCCGCAGTATAATATTCCCGAGAAATTGTATCATTACGTTGAAATCGAATTACTTAATTATTTTGAAAAGGTCATTATTTTAAATATAATATTAGTATAATTAAAACATTATATTATTTCATATTACATTATTTCTATTATTATACTGTTTCTATTTCTGCTTTTATAAGCACCAATGACAAAGGTAAAGCCTTTGCTATGTACACACTTTTATAAAAGAAAGGAAAACAACTTCATATGTGCGGTGTAAACCTCTTTCGCAACATTTTGAAATAAATTCCTTTCACGCACATAAAAGAGAAATATATGCGGATCACAGTTATTACAATTTATCTTAAAGAACAAAGGGAAGAGTAAATGAAAAAGTCTTGACCCGACATTAGCGTGTTTCGAAGTGGTACGGTGATTTACATAATGTGAATGTACGCGACACTGATTGCATTACGCTCGAGGAATTTGCACGACTGTTTCCGGACGGATCCTTACGGACGAGCGTTTGTCGGGGGAGTCGCGGTCTTACGAAACAGTATCAAAGTTCCTACGAATTCCGTCCCTCTGGTGCGAGGAACAATAGCGGAATTGAATTTCAAGGTAACGTAATCGCCACCGTTTTGTTCGCCGTGCCATACTGTAGGCACGACCATTATTTCAGCAATTACGACGTTTCTCGCCTGCCTCGTATAACCCGGTCCACCGCCAACGACGTTTTCCGTGGAGCGGAAAACGGCGATGAGATGAGTTGGAATTGCTCAAAGGATGAGTTGGATTGCCAACCCTCGTCAACCTCATTGCGATGAGAAAAGCGTAGTGCAAATGTGCGTACGCGTGTGTGTGTGTGTGTGTGTGTGCGCGCGTCTCAGGTAAGAAGATATGCCGACTTCTCCGCGAATTTGCGCATCGAGAATTAATGGCAAGTTGTCGTCTCCTAGTCGGAAGAAATTGGATTCATAAGCGCGGAAATTCTACGCGACTCGAGCGCTACAAATTATCCTCGATGTAGAAAGTCACACATTTTCATATTCCGATAATCAAATAATATTCTCTCCGCGGCCGGATCTGGAAAATTGCATCCGCCAAGTTAGATTGGAATAATTTAAAACGCCGTGACAGGGAAGACGCGCTTACGAATAATACGCGACCATTAGACTTCCATTGTGCGTCTCGCAGCTTTCTCACGTGTCCTTTAAAGCCGCGGACGCGACATTTTTTCGCGACACGACGATAAATCATCGGAAAATTCAGAGGATAATTTTAATTCTGCAACTATCCTAGCTGGAGTGATCGCTGTGTCTTTGTTTTTACGGAAACCGACGCCCGGAGGATTGCCACGCGAACGCAAAATTTACGCTTTCACGCGTAATTCACTGCGGCGGGTTTATTACGTTACAATTCAAATGTATGTATATACATGTACAAAAGTATATGTATGATATACATTCTTCTCTAAATATAATAAACAACTCCTGCTTCGGACGAATAATCCGCGGTTCCGTTGACCACGCCGCACCGCAATTAAATTATCACAGTAATTTCAACAACGGCCATCCTGAGCGTCCTCAAACATCCGGAACATCCGGCGCACATAATTTCTCACATCATTCCTGTCGGGGCGTGTACCACCGGGTAATATCCGGACTGAAACATTTTCAGGCGCGCCGGAATTCTCATAGGACGATCTGCATTCGACTGCACTCCGCAAAACTGGGCGTTTAACATTGAAATATACGAGACATTAATCGAGTGACCAAAGTGTAGAAGCCGAATCAAATTAGAGAGAGTTTAATTCAATTTCAGTTAAGTAGAGAATGAGATGAATTTTTAATGATACATTTCCATTAGCAAATATCGACATAATATTATAATCAAATAAACGAATAAATGGAGATCGTTTTTAATTTAAGCATTGCAACTTTAAATCTTCAGCGATGTTGATATTCTTTTTCCCGTCATTATTTCGACAGAAAACCTAACAGTAAAAATATTATTACTAGTTAGTTTTTCTTTTTGTTAAACGGAGAACAATTGCGATTCTCGTAACTTCATACGTAAACAAGCTTCGGGCGTTGAGTTTTAATTAACGTTGACGAGCGAAAGAGAGTTCCAGGTGCAACGACTCTCCCTGGAACGTCCGAGCTTATCTTTCACCAAGTGTACTTATATTACGAAACGTCAGTGTTGAGTGATGCTGAGCGATACTTCAGAGCCATTTAATACATGCACCATATGTAGCCGTGGCTGTACGTCATAGGCATGAATAAGATAGAGAGAAAGAGAGAAAGGGAACTATCAGATAGGTTAGTGGGTAGTGCCAGCTGGTTCTACAACTGGCAACACTCCAAGGGAACAAAAATCATGGTCCGCCCAATCGGCTTCTCTCTCTCGTCCGACGATGCAGCGTGCAGACTGGATGCATGATTTGTGTGCTTTATTAAATCCGATATTGGTCGACTCGGCTAACCCGAACCAGGCCATCGGTTATTTCGTGGCAGAAACGAGAACGCTTTCCTCCGATCTCTTCACTCTCTTTCTTTCTCTCTCTCTCTCTCTTTTCTTCTATCCTTTCATCGGTGCGACTTTTCCACTTTCGACACGCGTCCGTTCTTTTCATCAAGCGATGCGAGAAGTTGAATGTGAGGAGAAATGATCCTCTTCTCCTTTTTCCTCTACGACTAGAGAATAATTTACCTGTTCCACCGCTTTGAACACTCGTATAAGATTCAGACCAGCCAACTTCTGGATGTCTTTCTCCGACCATCCATGCGCTAGCAATTCCGCGAAGAGCTCCGGATACTTGCTGACATCCTCCAGACCCGTTGGTGTTCTGAGACAAAGAATTTATGATGAGACTTTATTGAGATTTGCAGATGAAAAACCATACGAGGTGATCGATTAGAATAGAAATATCGTAAAGATCGAGTTGCATCTTCTTTCCAAGTGTGTCAATTTGGAAAGCTCAGAATAGAAGATTATGTAATTATAAAAAATAAAATGTGTAATTATATTATTTTAGCGATATTTACGTTGCTAACATTACGTTGAAAGAAACACCATTTTCAATATTTTTATTGAATCTATAAATTTTATATAAAAATAAACTAAAATCTGATAAAATGGTTAAAAACATGGTATTACATTCTTTTCCATCTAATAGATTAATCATTACAGAACGATTTTGCTGAAGTATTTACAATTTAGTTAGATACATTCTGTGTGTGAAAATAGTTTTATTTGGACAATTAATAAAATTATTACGTGATATGGTGGTCAAGTTACTTAAAATTGTTTTAATTATTTTAATGATTTTAATGATGATGAACTTATTTTCAGATTTGTATCTAGCTAAATTTTTAACTATTTTAATAAAACTGTTCTTTTCATATATTAATCAGATAAAAAAATTCATTCCTCTTCTTGGAAATTCGTTCCTTTTCATAGAAAACGAAATTTTATCACGATAGTGAAGTGACAGTTGGCAACTTGTCAACAGGGTAACTTCGTCGCATCCGACAGAGCCACAAACAAGGATGAAAATAATTTCGTCTCCCTTCATCTCCGAAAATATTGTTTTAAAACACTGCGCTCTCGCGCCGCGATAAATTTTCGTCGCCCCGTAAAAGTCGATATGGAAATAATGTCCGTCCCGCGAAGCGCCAGCTTGTGAACGTACGGTGCGCACCAAGGCCACAATTTACATGAATATTTCCGCTCGATAAGATAGGGCTTTAATGAAGCAGAAAGCATCGGGAGTTTAAATTAGAAAACTGCTTGAAACTTTTATGGGTCCAACCCCCGGAACTTCGCGTATCCTCGTATTACCGCAGTAATTTTACGTGCACGTGCAACTCTTCTATCTATTGCACCGCAGCATGAATTATATTTTCGTCCGCTTGAATTATTCAGTGTATATAGGTGATGCGATCGCATTGTAAAAAGCTCTCACATTATTTATGTATGCAAGAGACGCGAATTAAAAAAGTTAATTAATATGTGCCTGTGCGAGATTAATGATGCGGTTTTTATTTACAATATTTCCGGAATGGTGTCTCTTTGTTCAGATAACAGAGAGCATATTCGTCAGCGCACTGAAAGGAAAGCTATTTCGTACATAATTACGCGGAAAGAATGGATTTGCTGAAGTCTAAAAATTTTGTAGTTAGACACAAATCTGGAAACAGTTTTGTACCGATCATCAAAATAATTGTCTGAGACGCTTAAACTAGATATTAGAATGTCAAACTTTTTGCATTTTCCTCAATGTTTAAGCGTTCTATAATATAATTATTTTTATCTAACAAAATTATTATCAGATATGTATCTACTGAAATTTTCAGCAAAACCGTTTTCTTCGTATATGACTATAATTGCATGATAAAATAATTATAGTTAAGAGTTTAATTTTTATAGTTATTATGTTATAATAAGTAATAATTATATTTAAATATATATATATATATATATAGTTCTATGTATCAAACTACATGGTGTTCTATGGGAAAGTGTTGCAACTATATAATCAGCTGCCATTTTCGAATATGTTTAATTATTGAAAAAGGAAATTGCGAAAACAGGAAAATTTGCAACTTTTAATGGGTATAAATAAAATTTAATAAAATGTTTGTATATCAGTTTACTTTATTGATGAAAAATATGAATTAATCAGTTAAGTTAATAATTAATATCCAATACCATACATACGATCCAAAAGCGGTATCAGATTTAATAGCTATAAAAAAGTTATCAGAAATATTAAAAACGACATGTAGGAAAAGTTTTTACGAGTTTTCCTTTAAAAAATGAGTTTTGTACAAATTTTAATAGTTCTTACTTCGGAAATATTAATTCTTAGAATTAATAATATATTTTTCCTGAATATAAAATAAACTCATATACAAACATTTTATTAAATTTTATTTATATTTATTAAAAATTGCAGACTTATCTTTTCAATGCAATTTTTTTAGTTGGCACTGAAAATGACTACAAATTATAGTCATGTAAGGATAAATTATAGTCATCTTCAATATCAACTATATATATGTATATAAATTTTTTTGGTATTATATAGAACTATGGGGGTTTTAATCACAATTATTTTACTATTCAATTTATAGTTATAAATACGAAACACTTTTCTTTCAATATGAGTTTTCACAAAAGATGCCGGAAATAATTATGCAAACCACTCGTGTTTATTATTGATTAAATATCCACTTATTCAAATTTTTCCTCGTATTATCCCGGACGTATTTCTCTAGCGAACAAATGTTTAGTTTGAATTATTTTGTGAAACGCACGGCCGCGGTTCTCTCGCCGCGTTTCCCGATATGAAAATTATCTCTGCTTTCAACCGTTGTGTTACGCTCTCGCTCATCTCTCCGACCGTTTCGCCTAAAACAATTATTTGCAGACTATCGCAGCTGTAAAAATTTAGACGTACGTTCTGCACGTCAGAAACGGAAGGGATGGAAGTGAATTCGCATGGAGAAAGGTCAAAGTACAATAATGAGCCAGTCGGGAAGCAGTCACAGATAAATTACACGAGTTACTTCAGGCGGTTTATCCTTCATTACTTTAATTACCAGTACGCTGGGTGACTGCGGCGAACTTACTTTACTGCTGTGAGAGAGGCACGCCGGGAAAGCGGCCCCGCCTTCCTACCTTGTGCGATCTTCACTTATGAGCGGAGGGCGAAAATGCGCTACGAGACCAAAATTCGCTCGACCCGATTTAACCAGGGTTACCACAAAATCAAGGGAATCAGAGAATTGTCAGGGAAATTGAAGATGGTCAGGGAAATCAGAGGAAAGTCAGAGAACTTTGTAAAATTTTCTGAAAAATTATAATTCATAGCTTTAAAAAATTTAATACATCATATTTATATGCAGTTTTGAAATACTATCAACTTTACAATGAAAAATGCAAATAGTGTTAACAACAATAATAGTAATTTACATTGCTGTGTTAAATTAATCTTTCGATAAAATATTTAACGGTTTCCATATCAGGACGAAAATGTAAAAAATTTGAAAGTCAAGGAAATTTGTCTGAAAATCTGGGAAAAGTTATGGAATTTTAGGATGAGGAATCTGTGACAACCCTATTAACGCTAACGCAGAGAGTGCTGTACTTTGCGAAAAAGTTCTTTAAAACTACAGATAAAGAAGTTACGAATTTTTATATTTTTACAAATGAAAGCTATCATTCTAAAGTTCAAAGATATCCACTTTTTTGTCTTTATAGCTTGATATTTTGTACGTCTGTACGGTACAAGCACTAAAGATTGTCTACCTGTGAATTATATGAATTATAATTGCAGGAAGTCACCAATTAAAATTTCAGTTTTAGCGAAGAGGAGATGATATCTCCTCGTTCGTGATTCGTGAGAATAATATTCGTCTGCGTTTCTGCAGGGTTACTGAAGCAGTCACGTTCCTTCATTTTCGCAATTGTCTACATTTTCGTTAATTTATCTCCGGAATATTATTACGGGAACGAATGCAGTCGATACCTCTTTCGTGAAGATACATTGAATCGCGTTACTGATGGCGAACGGGAATGAGTCGGTAAAAGGGGTTACGACAGAATTTCGACGTTCTCATTACGAGACGTCATAACGAGAGCTCGAAGAGACCTGGTTACAACAACGCGGGGGTGATGGAGGCAAGGGGACGAGCTGTCGAAAGCTGCTCTGCTGACAATGTCGGGCCAACAAGAGTGGTTAGAGACTTATTCATGGCGCGTCGTGTCCCGGCTGAAACTGGCAGTTATGTAACTGTATATTGTACGCATCGGCCGACCGCATCCAGAGAGCCGTTATTCCAATTTCGGAAATTTCCAAATCGAGTACGTCCATCATTATGCACTGCAAACGCGAGATGATCGCCCACGAAAACAATGCGCATATATGATCTCTGATAATTATATTCGATTTCAGGGTGGCTTTTTATACAGAAATAATTATAGGCACGAGATACAATTTCGATAATAATTAAGTTAGTAAAGATTAGATTTCTTGGAGCGTAAATTCCTTTGAAATAAAAAGTAACTTTCAAAGAACCCATGGGCATTTATAGTTTCTATATACATTTGAAATTTATGAACTTGAGCTGAACTTTTTTATGTAGTCAATAAACCTCGTTTACCCTTGGGGCTTAGATAAAAGATGTTATTATATATTTAAAAGAAGTGCAAAACTTTGTTCGCATCTCGCAAGAAAAGTGACACAAATAAAAAATATAAAATTGTTCAACGGGGGGAAAAATTGCTTACTTAAAATAATTATTTACAGTGATACACGTAATTTAATTAGAGCTAATCATAAGTATATGTTCCAAGTTTGAAGTCTAGATCATATAGGTATTAATTTTGTTATGGTGATATGTTAAGCCTCTAAAACTATCCTTAAATTAGATAATTATTAAATAATTACAATAGTATTAAACGCGAGTTAACTAGAGTTCATTACAAACGGTTTGTTTTAAATTTCAAATCCAGAAGTAATGTAGATATTAACTTTGTCATGGGGTGTTATGTTAAAATCGCTAAAAACTAACCTCATTTTAATTTGTCATTTTTTCCCATTTTCAATTTTTTTCAATTTTCTATTGAAATTCAACTTGTATCACTTTTCTAATTGAAAGCCGATATATATTTAGACCTCAATCCGTTTATAATACAAAATTCGAAAAATTTTAACTTGTGTGCCATTTTTCTAGGAATACGATATGCTTTCTTTTATCCATGATCGGAAAAACAAATGGAAATCGTATCCCCAAAGGGTACAATATATTCAATGTAACTGAATCGTGCTATATTTTTATG